ATTTATAGAATAGTTGAATTAAAAGAAAGTTCTACCGTAGAAAAAATACTTAAAAGAGGCAAATATATATTTAACCATTGACTATATTCACATTGATAAAACACCACAGTGTTGCCAAATTAAAGGAATGTCAAATTTTGATACAACTCCAGTGGATTTGATGACATTTATTAGTATATAAGATAACTTATATACTCCTCAACTTAAATAATTCTTATATATTGATTAATGTTTAAAGGTTAGGGATTTTTAATTATATTTTGTGTTTAATGAATGCAATCTAAGATATCATCGAAAATAACTTTAATAGATTCATCTCAATCGCTTAATGTTTTTCGATCAAATGATGCTACTAAAATGTTTTATGAAAAAACATCAACAATTCTGAAGTAACTTAATTTATTTTAATGATAATAAATAATTGTATTTATTCTGTTAATTCAACATTTTTTGTTAAAAATGTTCTATGACGAAATTATAAATTTATGCACACATTTTTTAAATAAAATATATTTTGATGAATAAATTTCTCATTTGTTTTAATTAACAATTATTATTTTAAGTGTTGTAGTATCCTTGTTAATCCTTAGTAATTACTAATTACCAACTAATTAACTAGTAATCTTTCACGTTTACTGTAGAAATTTGTTTGTTTTTAAGAACTCTAACAGACATAATTATGGGATTCTTTTTAAAATAATAGCAGTTGTTGTAATTATACAATTTTAACTCTAATAATTTTTAATCTCAACAGTGTAATCTATTAAATATACTAACCCTTAGATTTTCATTAAGTAATAATTTTTTTATAAAAATATATAGATTAAAATTTAATATTAAACTATTAAAATTTAATTTATAACATATTATTCAAATCAAGTTTACTAAAAAATATATTATTCCAAAAGGTAAATATTAGGGAAAACTTTTGAAAATTAAACAGGAACCTATTATTTTTTAACTATTAAATGGAGAATAGCCTAAATAAAATTTTAACAATTCGGTAATCAAAATTGTATTATTACTTTTTATGATATTAGTATTTGATGATTTAAAAAAGTTGATTAGGAGCGGCATAGTGTTAAATGACGATTTATTTTTATTTTAACGCAAAGATAAGAATTGTACGTTGTCACTCCGATCGAAATTTTATTTAGTTTATTCTTCATAATAATGTAAAAGTTATTAAAGGCTCGCATTTATGTTTTGAAAATAACCCTAAAAATAATATTTATAATTTTTATGTTATTACATTAAGCTTTTTTATCGCATTAATTTATATTTACAATCGTATGTGATCAGTGAGCTATATTTATTTGGAGGAAAATAATAAATTTAGGGTGGTTTTTTACTTAAATGATATAAGACTTTTTGATTCACAGTTTTCGATTTCAGAAATTTGATTGTGATATAAGTTAATAAACTGATTCGAGGTTTCGTTTTTTGAGAAACATCGTTAAAACAGTGTATGAAACTCAGTTGTTTCTGTGATGCTTACAAATACAGGTAAGCACTAAGTCGTTTTCACAAGGGGAGATAATATTAAAGACGTCAAAAATTGAGTCATAACAAAATTATTGTTTACATAAAAAAGTCTTTTTACGTAATTGAGATTTATCTACTCAAAGATACATATTTTCAATAACTTGGGTATTTCGTTTAAAAATGTTTATATTGCATTAAATACATTGTTACGTGAAGTTTGTACTTTAATAGAACTTTATTATTTCAAAATATTAAGTTGAAAAATAAGTAATTTTGTATTTTTTAAGTCAAATTGGTCCTATTTTGGTTTAATAATTAATAAATAATATTTCTATTGTTGATTTTTCTATTATGTTGAAATGGTTTTATTATCTTTCTCTATTAAGAATCTGGAATTAATCGAACGTTTTTAATTGTACCGACCATTATACAAAATACTTAATAGATCATTGCTTATACACGGAGAATTATGAAACACTATTGTAGTAAATATTTCAACAAATTATCAGATTCTCGATGAAACTTACGTTTAATTGAAAGTTTGCAATAATTTGATTGAAATTTAAATGTAAATTATCAGACTAATAGTTTGTCATCGAAAACAATTAGTTAAGAAATGGGGTATTTCCGAACAGAGTGGATAACAACATTTTTTTAAAGCGCGTACCCGTGACATAATTTTATTATTTTATCCAACAGGCTCTTTGAGTTTTATCATATTAATGAGTTATAATCAACGCGCAATATATCACGAAATTGATTTTCCACGCACAGAATTGGAAATCATTATAAATGAAAATACAACAAAAGGTAGACCACGTCGTATGATGCGTTTGGCATGTGACTGTTAATGTGCGCCGGCTTAAAAGTTCAACTGTTTGGCATTGTCCGGTGCCGCAGGTGACCATTGCCAGTGACGGTACGACATTGCGTTAATTATTTTTAGTTCAATTAATATTTTGTCATCGGTCACATGGTTGCAGTGACAAAACATTGAACAAACAGCGAGCACGCGCTTTTCGCACTACCCTTTGTTTTTCGTTTATTAATCCAATTATATTTATTAACATAGCAGGCGACTTATTGGACAACATGGTTTTTCGACAATATCGAAGTTCATGATCTATCTGCGATCGTCTAGATCTCGTCTAAAGTCTAGTCGCATACGTACGCCAAATGACACGTTGTTGCGCAAGTTAACAGTCAATATTTACATTGACAAACTGTTTTTATCGGTTTTGCACGTTTTTTATTCTCAGTGTAACAAATATTTTTTATCTTCGGTACTGCGACACGTTTACTAATGTGCTTATAACAGTTGCTATTATTTTTTTATCTGTTTTATTATTTCCTATGGAATTATTGGGGGTACTCGTTAGGACAAACACGAATGTGAATTGCTCTTTTGGGTAAATTTAACATTTCGTCGAAACAGTTATTTTTTAGTGATAGCTTTATAAGTTGTATAGTTTTTATACCGAATTTGACACTGCTAATACTTGTTAAACATTATTTGATTTTTTGTAGTGGAAATAAAATTTCATGAATGTTTGATTTTATTAATTTATACAACCGCATATTTCATTTAAATTATTTTCGTCTAATAATATACACATCTGAATTATATTCAATTACAGAGAGACTTATTTTGATAGGATCAACACTGATTTGATATGTTTTATTATTTTATTTGCGCTTGTTATTCGTTAGGTTATTATAGTTGTTTAATAATTGGAGAATATTAAGATCCATTACGCAAATGTTTTTTAATTGTCAACTGTTTATGTTGACATTATTTTCTGTAAAGTATTGAGAAGTTTGATCTTTTTTTTATTTATTTATTTCTAGGTTAGTGGCCTGCTTAGCTCAGTCGGTACGCGTCGACTTTGGTGCGTAGGTGCTAAGGATTAATTTCATTGCGCTGTGCTTATACAGGTTTTCCCGTCTTCTGTGGTACAAACCATAGCTTTTGAAAAGAAATTAAACATATTTAAATAATATTAATAATTAAATAGTAATAATAATTTCTAAAAATTAACGTTTCTTATTTTGCTGGTTATATTTCTCAGAAAAATAATCAAAATTATGAGTAACCCAATGATGAGGATTCGAACAACAAGTCAAAACTAAATAAAACATTCAGTGAAACACAAACTTATTCATACATTTTTTATGTATGCAGTGATTATCCAGAAAGGTCTAAGGACCATTGCGATATTTTATAAAGAGGAGATTTCTGAACATCATGAAAAGTTATGTGGTACAAATAAATCTTTTGCCATAAAAACATATCTCATTTCATTTTAATTTTAGACCAGACTTATTTATTTAATTATAATAGCCAGTAAAGATATTACTTATTGTAATTAGTTATTTTCATTTGTATGTACAATTCAAAATTTGATTATATTTACATCATACATCATTCAGTACACACACACAATAATTTTTTGACGACAAACGCATGTAATTATCAATTTTAATAGGTTTGTTACGTTTCATTTATACACAATATTAAAAAAAAGTACAAAATGATTTTTACAAAGTGCCTTTTTTCTGAATCAGATTACCGGATATGTCTTAAAATTTTCATCATAATATTCATTCGCTCATAAACGTCATATAACTTCTTATTTGACATTATAGAAATGTTTTTACTGGTTACCTTGATATTTAACACTAATATAAGTTAGCGCTCATTAAGCGATGATTCCGTTGAAGATGTCTAATTATTTAAGTTAAGTGGTTGGAGTACTTTAATTGTTACGTAACGTTTTAAATTGATTAATTTCTTGAAGTAAAATTAATATTTTTATCGTTACGAAGTGCAACTATTCTGACAGGTACCAACATAAACTTGTAATGTTCTTCAAATTAAATCTATAAAATTCGCACAAACACACACAGACGCATGATAATATAATAACGATTCATTAGAAATTGAACAAATAAATACTGGAGTCCAAAGTTTTAGTTAAGTACGGAGAAAAGTATTATTATTCGTCCATGGGGAACCGCAAATAATTGTATTTAAACAATCAGCTATCAAATAACAACAATAAAAACCGTTTATTATTTTTCATTACCAATTGCAAATAATTTATTATTATGTTTATAGCGTTCCGTGAAACGGACTTTACCGCATGTACGCATTTTAGCAATAATGATACAATGTGTTTTTATTTGTTTTCACCACAAACACGGTAGATCACATATCTAATGTATCTATGTTGGTGTATAATGCGCATCACGGTGTACGCGTACGCGTTTTACGGCAAAAGCAACTAAAAAAAAAAAAAGTCAATTAAAATGAGACTTTCGAAATCGGACAAAGACGATGGGCAGCCGAGTATCGTGTACGGATTGTCTTAGGTGCAAGGCCGGTCGCGGGGCGGTGCGGGTTGTGACGCGTTACCGTGCGCGTTTGCTTAGCCAGATAAGACAGGCTAGCGCGTGGTAGGAACCGACGATAACAGATCGGACGGAATAGTATTTAAATATGTGATAAATGAACCAGACAATAGTCGAAAGCCTGTAGGATCGGTGCAATCAGTGCAGGCGCTGTTCGCCGGTTGTATTATACTGTTCCGAAGGAGACTCGCGACAGTCGTCTTTACGATCACCTGCGGTTGCAATCAGCGTTATTTCATCTCAGCTTTATATATATTTTTGTTTTTGAAAAATCAATTATAAGAAATTTTACACGCGTTTAATCGATCAACACGATTTGGTTTCGCTTTTTTATTCGTTTGTGTTAACGTTGTGTGCCGCTACCAATCTAACATGACGTCCAAGACCATGATGAACAGTGACATGTTCCAACTGGACATCGCCCCGCTGTGTGATAACACCCTCACCTTGGCCGCCCAGGAACTCAGAGAGACGCCAGAACAAGTACAGAAGTCGTTGGCTGAACTACGTGCCATACTAAAAGGTATATAACAACACATGTCATTCCTAGAAAATAACTATCACATTGTCCGGTTAATTTGGTAAACTGGTTACTCACGCCTGAAATATTACCGCGTAATGGGTAACTCACAAAAACCGGTTTCAGAGATTACCTATCACTAATAAAACCGGTTATCCACATAATTCTTTTTGGAACTCGGTTTTGATTTAAAATGGTAAACGATTGTGTGTGCTCCTTTTGAGCATTAGTTTTACTTCAATTAATCTTTTAATTATGTTTTTCGTAAATAAAATGTCAATAAAAAATACTGAATTAAAAGGTGTATTAATTAAAAATATTTAAATTACACCAGAATGATACAGACAATTTGTGAAAAATAAAATAAAATATTAAAAACACGTTCAAAGACAAATAATGTTATCGATAAAAAATAACTTAGATATAAGTTAGGTAATGTGTTGTGGTGTTTGCTTTTAGCACATCTAATGTATTTGTTGTGATTAATCGCCAACCAAATTTCTATACCAATCTGTTTTTAATCGCGTTCAAATACCGATTACAGAGACCTTTTATTATTTTACTCACATTTTTTCTTTATAAAATTTATCTTTTTATTCTAATGGTAAATATTCCGAGTCAATATTAATTCGTTTGTATGGCATATCACAAATTCCAAGCAATCACACAAGTCGGCGAGGACTAATTTTTTGTAAACTATTATAAAACAGTGGCATTACAAATCTATAATCGAAAACTAGATTATTTAACTATTTTTTTTTTGTGCTTGTTCAAACAACTTTCGGCACAAATTTACTTCCATTCCATAAAATTATTTTTATTATTTATAAAACTTTATTTCGTGATTTTTTTTTTTTTTTTACTATTTTACGTACAATTCAACATGCAAACATTTGGAAGTAACATTAAAAAGAATGAACAATTTCTCACGGAAAAATGTTTCTATAGCAAATGAATAGTAAATGTAATAGAGCGTCGGATTGGAAAGAGATTTTAAAAACATTTGTTCTTATTTCGTAACTTTGCTGACGACTTTTCAATAAACGTTTTAAACAATAAGTTTTAAATGGAACCGTTTTAATAACATACGGTTGTTGTTTTATACGATAAATTGTTAAAACTAAAATAGAATTAGGGTTGCGTGATTTTTATTTTTTGAATTACTATCAGTACTAGGCATTAGTGAAAATCATAATAAAAGTACATCATCTTGTTCATTTTCTGAACTCGCACTTAATGCAAATCTAACCAGTGAAAAAAAGAAACAGAACATCTATCCCAAGTGTGAAATTACATAATTAATTAGAAATTTCATGTGTTATCTTTAAATTAAAAAGAACACTTATCGTTATAATGTGATGTACTCCTTTATGTAGGCATAAACAATCTTTATTTTTAAGAATTGCTAATCGTAAATGATAAAAACTAAGAATTTTGAAGCCAATTAAATTACCATTTTTTTCTTTTAGTTGATTTCGCTGCCAATCACTTTCAAAATTGTTAGTTCAATAGTCGATATTTGTAATCGAAGCAAATTACTACTTTGAGTAGTATAATTGTTTCAAGGGCATTGATAAAATACATTTTTCAAGTATCTGATTAGAAATGCTCGTGAAATAGCAATTATAATTGATTTACTATTATACTTAATTAATACATTTATTTCTTATAAATTTCAAAGAAATTTATTGAACCATCGTATGAATTTGTTTTGAGTTTAATTAAACTTTTGACCATACAAATATTACTATCAGAATACTTTATTAAAAAACCGATCACATACAAACTTAAAACAACATGTATAATTCGTATATTAATACTTTAATTTTTACAGAAAAGAGGTAGATATTTACACATTTATTTTTATTTTAAAGTAAACTTACTATAAGTTTACACAATTTATAATGTTCGCGTAATTGTCTCTACGTAAATCTTATATTTGTATACAATCAAAACCAATTAAGAGAATTAATAAATTATAATTTTTAAAAAATAAGTTATTTTTAAATAAAAATAGAAGAAATTATGTGTTTGTAACTGAGTTTATTAAGTAACTTAATATTTATACTTTCTCTTTGAAATAATATTTTATCAAAGAGTTCTTTTTATCTTTCACTAATATAATTTGATATTTAAATTGAATTTACTCATATACATATATTTTTTAGAAAGAAATCAAATTATTTATAAAGACTGTGATGAATATCTCAAGATATTTTTGAGACCGACTAAATACTATCCAGAAAGCGCCTACAATTTGGTAAGTAGAAATTACTATGGTTTTTGATAAACTATTTGCAAATTTGAAGAAAAAATATTCGATTTGTAATAAATACTATGTACTATTTCTTTGTATGAAGGTAATAATAAGATTGTTTACAAATACGAGTACGTTTCTCACGGCGTGACAATGTCAACGTTCGTTCAGCGTCGATAACGTGAACGTTTTAATCAGAATTATTAGCTTCGATGCGTTTGTTTGTTTGTGACAAACGCTTCCTTATATTTTTTAATTAACATTATAATTAATGAGATGTATTTTGGTAGTTTTAATTAGTAATATCTAAATTGAAACTGAGGTGGTACTTTCAGAATAACTACAGCGTCCGTAAAATTTTTTGGAACTAAATTAATATAATTCTTCTTAATCCCAACTACTTGTGTTCGGCCACCCTTATTCTAGACTTCCACTTGACAATATCTCCCACATCATCTATGCTCACATCAGCTGTCTTCATATCGCATTCAATAACATCCCTCCATCTTTTTTTTGGTTTTCCTCTATATATTCTTCCCTCAACATTAATTTCCAAACTGTTCTTACAGCTTCCTCTCTCCTCATTTCACGACCAAAACATATAAGTCTATTGTCTTTCATCTTATCCATGATTGACGTTAGTGCTTATAATTTAATATAATCTGGTCTCAGTATGAGATCTAATGAAATTAACTTAATTCTGTATGAGAGAGCTATTGAATTAAAAAAAATCAAAAGTTCAAGTTATAATTAAACTCTTTTTTCAATAAAAATATAATAGTATTTCCAGTTTCTTAAAATTAGTTAAACTAATATCCTTTGTATTAAAAAATTGTGTAGCTTTTGATCTCTTTTGATGTTGGTTATAGCAATTAATTATATATAACCAATGGTTATTATTACCGCAATTTTTTTATAAAATAAAAAATATTAATATTAAAATAGCTTATATAATAATTATTCATACTTGAAATTCATTGTGTACTACTCCAAAAAAATATCATTTAGAAGTGAAATTAAGGGAGACGAGAAGAAAATTAGTGTACATTTCTTTACGCATAACCACCTCCAAAAAGAAAATTGTAAAAAGTTAACTAGGAAATACAAGGTGTCAAATATTAGCTCTGATAAGTTTGTAATATATTTTTGTGTAGTGTGATAAACCTTTATTATGATCATGTCAACAAATATTGCAAAGAATAAGAGAATCAAAAAATAGTGTTAATGAATGAGTTGGGAACCAGACACTATAAAAAGAGGATCAAATTAAGAAAATTGGTTTGACCATAATCGTCTCCGTTGCCAGTAAAGAGAAACGTTAATTTCTATGTTCGTTTCAATAACGTCCGCCGCAATTGAAGTTGTGTTATTAGTACTATTTTATTTTATTGTGGTGTGTCTGTTACGATTGTATATTTAAAATACAATTACATATGACCGTTCTAAAGACTTATTATTATTTTTATTTTATTAAATTGTGTTATTATTATTATTATTTTGTGTTTGCGGCTAGAGTTAAGGTCGGATTGCTGGTTCATCAGTCGATGCTAATAGTTAGTGTGCAAGCTGGTAGAGTGAACCCTTAAGTTGGTAGAGTGAAAAAGTAGTTAAACTGGTGGTCTAAAAAAGAGTCACCCTTCAATCTGCTTTTTTCTAAGTAAATTGTGCTGACGGGTCCTCCTCAGGTTACCCCTTTAGTGGCTCACTAACTTGAGGACATTAGGTTGACCGGAGTACTCTGACAAGAATACTCGGGGAAAGCCAAAGAAACGCGGTTGGCATTAAAGAGTTTGGAATTAAATTGTTTGTTTATGTGTGTAATTTAAATTTCTTTGTCGAGGATCCTTTTGTCGGTACCTAACTAAATCTTTGTTTGTTCGTTCGAGTTTTTTTCATAAAAAATGACGTCACGAAAATCGCAGACTCTTTGTCGTTGTTGTCGCGCTATTGATTGCAATTAACAATAATGTTTACACTTATAGTGATAATAAATGTGTTGTACTTTTTTGTTGTTATACAAGTGTTCATGTTTTTGCAACAATTACTCTACGGGTAAACTAGTAAGAATTATTAATATGACCTATGAACCATATGAACTTATACGAAACATTCTTCGAACTATGTACACACTACGACGGCTAATGTTTAAATACAATTATTTATGATAATAATAATTATTATTTATTTATTTTAAAAACTAATAATGATAATTCTATAGAAACTATCGATGGTGAACTATTTGACCGATTCTTGTTATCATGACGTCGAATTCTTTCTTTTTGTTTTAATTGCCGTCTCATTTTCGCAAAAAAATTATTTGTGGTACTGATTTGGTAAGTTTCGTTTTCTGGAACTAGTTAAGCTCGTTTATACAGCGTCAGTACCCTAAAAACTGCTAATTGCTTGAATAAATAACGTATCTCATTATCGGATATATAAACAAAGATATGCTCAATGATTCTATTAATGCAAATCAATAACATTAATTGAGCTATTAAAATAAAATGGCCGACTATACTTATACTTGGATAGTACGTTCAATAACTTACAAATGATATTTATTTGCTTGAATAACTATGTTTTTAATAAATATTTATTTATTTCATACTATTGTGTCATTAACAGATGAAACGTTTAGCAGAATTCAGATACAAACACCAAAAAATAATAGCTAACCCGTTGCCCAGCGAAGAAAAGAATTTATTCACAGATCACAATGTAGTTAACGTACTAGTAGACAGAGACCACAACAACAGAAGAATTCTAGTCCTCAATATGGGATGTGAGTATTACATTATCAAATTGAATACTGGTATAAAGATATAATAGAAGTACACAAACATAATCTAACTAGAGACTAATGCGTTTAAAATTATTTATTATTTTTTTATAAAAAAATTCTTGCAAGATTAAATTATTGCGTACATGACCAAACCTACGGATAGTCTTACGGAGTAAAACTTCATCAAAAATTGTTCAAAAACTAAATACTGTTGTTTAAAAACAGAGTCAAATGCAAAACAGTAGAGTGTTTTGCTCTTCTATACAATTGATTAAATGCTACTTCCGAGGTTTTGCTAAGTAACCAACGATATGTACAATAATTTTTTATTTTTTTATGTAAAAAATTTTAAAAGAAAGCAATTAATTGTAACACCTATATAAACAATTATAAATGTTGTCTCCTGAGTTACGAAATAATTGTTTACATAAACTTACGAGTCCACTTTATTTGTCTATGTGATTAAAAATAAATTTAATGAAGTGGCTGAAGAAATCCTTAATTTTATCACGATAAATAGTTTCGATTCCCTTTTTTTGCAATTACTGCATATTTAATTAGTACAACAAACACAGAACGCCTTGGTGAGGCTGACATCTGCCCTGTATTTTTCACGATATAATCTGATTACTTGTATACAAAACAGTATGAGATTCGTGGAAAACCCGTTCTTGATTCGAAATCACAATTATTGTACGTGCAATACATTTTCTGCCAATACCACATTTTCGTAGAAATAATTATTATGAGCTATCATTTTAATTATTAATGAATAACAGCAAAAATTTGAAATCTAAGAGTCACCTTCGGCTATTTATTAGTGATTAAACGTCATCAATAATTCAACCACGGGGAAGTCTCAAACTGTAATAATTCGGGTAATTTTAGTAAGTCGACATAATTTTCTTAGTTTCATTGTGTAAAGTTTGAGTTTTCCTTTTAGGGGTAAGTTTTTTGAATTTTCAATGATTTCAATCCGCAAAAAGATCCAAAATTATCCGTGTTCAATTACCAAAAAATAATTGTAAATGTATTATCGTTTTCAATGTGTACGATTTCAGCAGACAATTGATACATTGTTTTTTTTATAACCGTCATTCTGATAATGCGCAAAAATTAAACAGTTAAGGCTAATTTGTAGTATACCAGTTTGTTTTTTTTCTTATAGCTGCTTGGGACCCAAAGCTTCTTCCCAGTGAACAACTTTTCAAATGCCTTTATTTGATCCAAATAGCATCATTAGTCGAACAAGAGAGTCAAGTCCGTGGTGCTGTAATCATCATTGATTTTCACGGACTTTCCACAAAACAGGTGATGGCTTTATCGCCGTCGTTTGCCATGACGTTGCTTCTTTACATTCAAGTAAGAGAAATTATTTATCGAAACGAGTGGGGTTTTCGGCACTGGAAAGATAAAATTGTTTTTTTTTTTTTATCTTGCCCTTCAATATACTCAGTATTTTGTTTATCTTCAGCTTTTATTGCATGCATGGTGGACGGTCACGCAAAATGGCACGTGTGTGAATACTATCGTAATATTTTCTGCTGATTGAGATTTGCCGTGTAAGGTTTTTTTTTTTTTTTTTGTTCGCTTCTAGTTAATTGTTTTGCACTGAATAAAATCACAAATAATTAAAACACATCATTTGTATAATGCGCATGCATCAATATTAGTTTAATAATAATAATAATAATAAAAAAATGTATCGTAGACAACGAGCGTCGTTAAATATTATTCCGGTCAAATATATTAGCCAGTCGAATTACCGTCAGAGCAGAATAATTTTGATAGTGAGCACGAACACTTCTATTTTGACGTAGGTAAAATGTAACCTTGAATTTGTTTTATTAATGTGACGTTAAACGGTTTTTTGTTAGATTGTTAATTTTAACCGAATTAATCTCTAAACACGATTATCAAAAAGTGCATTATTGTGTTATTATAATAAATTATCGAATGATGAAACAAATAAAGTGATATCTGCCACATATAATCCCATACAGACTTTTCGTGTACAACGAGAGGTTATAATTATATAAGTAAAAAAAAGAAAAAATTTATTAAGTTGTACTGATCGTGAGTTATTATATCAGGAAGCCATGCCAGTGCGTTTGAAGGAAGTCCACATTGTTCGTCAACCGTTCTTGTTCAACATGGTTTGGCCAATGTTCAAACAGTTCATCGGAGATAAGCTTAAAAAACGCGTAAGTGCACCATCTAATCTTGCTCGTGTTTTGCCGTCGTCTCGCACGCGTTTATATTTTATGAGTTCACTATTGTTTTTTTTTTCTCGACGGAAATTTCATTTGGGAATGGACAAAAGTAATATCATCAACGTTCTCGTCCAAAAATTACTTTTATTATTATTATTATATACTTTTTTTTTGACAACACATTTATTTCGTGGGCGAGCAGGATATAGGGTAGATTTAATAACTAGCTGTACGCACCTAATTTTTCTCCGTCTTTGCCACAGTTGTTTTTCCACGGTAACAAAATGGCATCTCTACACAAGCACTTGGACTCCAGTTTTCTCCCCGAGGATTACGGCGGCAAGAAGGCAAAATTGAACTACTCGAGCGCTGATTGGTATCCTGTTCTACTAAATTTAGAGCCACACATAGAAGGTAAATGCAAATGTTTGATTTGTTATCTAAACCGGCTGGCTTACTTATATTCGTAATATATAAAAAATAGTGTACGAGTTAAAAAATATAACAATGAGTATTGATTGAATAAATGCAAAAAAATATTATTTGTCAAGGCATTCAGTATATAGAAATTTTATATTTTTTCAGAATGGAATAAATTTGGAGTGTTGAAAAAATAATGATACCAATATATTTTATTTCAATCATATTCCACTCAAGATGGATCATGATCCTGCAGAGCTTTATAAAAATAAATGCTGTTCATGTTCGACCGTTCGAACTGTACACTTAAGTCAAATTAATTAGTATTAGGATAAAAAAAAAAAAAGTATAAAATTATGAAAAATAAGAAAAATAAAAAGTCCATATTTTTATAACAGTAATTTTATATGATTTTATTATATATTATATGATAAGCGTTCGTGATTATAATGGTATCGCCGTTCTTTTTTATGTTCACGAATATTTATAGTCGGTAAAATATTATGTTGAACAATCAAGTCCAAGCGTATCATGATAAAAATTTTGTTGTTATTCGTGTTATATTTTAGTAGTAATAACGTTAAAATGTGTAGCCAAATTTACTTAGTTTAAAATTATATTACTATTATGTCACCATAAGTTTTCATAATTTAAGATATTATCTTCATAATTATTACTGCCGAAGAGGAAACATAATTAGATAATATATTTATTCTATTTAGTTTTGTATAATTTTCATTAAACAAAAGTAAAAAAAAAAATAATCCAGTTTATGGTATTTAATTACAGTAACCATAACATAAGCTCAAAACACTGTGATCAAATTAACTTTATGACAAAAATGTTAGCTTTGTATTTATTTTTTCATTTATGAATTCAAAAATTGTTGTATACTGTGATCTGAGTGGACTTTTTAAACTCAAACATTTATTATTTGATACTCTTCGTTTTATACTTATATACTATGTTTCTTCGATAATCTATACTTAATTGTTTTTGTGTTATTTGATCTTGTATGATTTTTTTTATTACTTATTTAACGTGTAAGAATTCTGTAAGTTACCTAATTTTTTTTTTAAACATAGTTAAATGTTACTCGACATTTTTAATGTATGTCAGTAATTTTTAGTACATTTATATTAATAAAGAAACAATATTATATTTAAAAAATACTAGTAGAAATTCGGGTATTTCAAGTAGTTAGTATAAGAAAATTACTTAAATTTTGTAAATTTTTTTTATGTTTTCTGTTAAATAAAATCTAGACAGATTTATGTATGACCAACTAACTAGATATGATACAATAATTTGTTATTATTATTATTTTTTTTTTTACTCATTGACCCTATTATACAATAGGATACTTATTTTATGAATTAATGATTTTATTTGTTATATTTGAATGAAAGTATAAATTGAATTTATTTTACAAACTGTTTTGTTGATTAATTCATTTTCCTCAGCATCATTTAGTTAATAACATGAATGATTCACAAAGGTCGTACACTCTCGTCAAACATGTGTGATACAATACAAGTAATTTCTTTTATAACACTGTCATTGTTGACTTGTTAGCTTTTATATTATCATACTTACCAAGAGTAACATTTATTTAACATGTACGACTAGAATGTATTTTGATCATGTAAAATACTGTAAAACTTACACAATATGATTATTTCCGAATAAAAATTTCATCAAAGATAGTTCAGTCACAAGTTTTCATTCGCATGTTTTTAATATAATAATATTTATAGTTAAATAAATTGCATTTAGTCTGACCAATGTTATCACAAAGAACTGCAAAAATCTTTACATTTGATTTAAATACAAATTTATTCCTGTTGCTTTAAATGGATAGTTGTAGTTGTTGTTCTCTATACGATCCGCTCATCGATTACGCTCTTATATAATATTCATACAATAAGAACTGTGAGTTAATGAAACATCCGAATTTCTTAACACTGGTGTGTTTATATGAACAAACACTAGACATAATCACACACACATGATTTTAACAGTCAATAGCGCATCTCGAGATTTTATAATGGTTTTTTTGTCGTAGTCCGAATGCGTTCCGAAGTAAAATAAATGTTTTACACAAGTAATCCAAATGCCCCCAGTTTGTTTAAAGTTACCGAGGGTACCGCACAAAAAGACATGCTGGCTTGCACCCTAAATTGTTTTTAATTATTCCTAAATAATATATTTCATTAAAATTAAAATTACATTACGCTTAACTATTTTTAGTACAATTCCACCTTTGAATATTTTATTCTTACATTTTCATTTGACTTTTGATCTTGAAACTTTTGTAAAAACCTACGTACTTACACACGGTAAGTACGTAGGTAAGTGACATAACACGTATGTCACTTGATTTGTATTTAAGTTATTTCATTATTATTACGCGGACGCAATGGATTAAAAAAGGGTAAAAATAAAAACCGGTGTACAATCGGGTAACCCTCAAATAAGGTGTTCAATTTTTAGTAATTAAAGGTTTTAGTTTACTTTGTCGTGATTTTTTTTTTATAATACTGGATATCATAACTTTGCTACTAATGAACCCATTTTGTTCAACGATTCATCAAAAAACGTATCTGATTGAAGCTATCATAGCCAAGTCATGGTTATGAAAAATTTCTCTCAATTCCTTTAATAAAGGAAAATTTTACAAAAAATACAGTTGTTATAAAACAGTCAATGTTTACATTTTCAGTTTTCAATTTATATTGAATAATATTTTGAAAACTAGATGATAGATCATTGCGGATATTCTATTAGCAATACTTTAGACATTTAATTTAAGGACGACATACTTTTTTTTGGAAATCCCTATCATTATCCAAATTACTGAAAAGAGATAACAAATGTTTTTCTTTTTAATTGTTATGTTCCAAAACGCCTGTTTGTGGACAATTTTTAAGGTAGGTTTTTTCGCTTGTAAGTAAATAAATAAAAGTGATTTTATTTTATCATTTACAATTTCAGTAATATTATGAGTAAGATGGAGAAAGAGTACATATAAATATATAAATATTGTGATGTAGAAATGGAATCTGTATAATATAAAATAAAATAATGTTATGACAATTAATAAAAAGTAATTCAAGTTATTTAACTAAGTGTCACATTTTATTTATTATTTTTGCTCTAAATAGCCTTACTGAATTTTTTTATCGCGAAAAAAATCTTAAATTCACAATTTAAAGTATTATTTTAACAATGATATTTTTAATTAAAATGACAGTTTTCATTGATATTTTAATCTTGTAAAATTATGTTTGGATTTTATGGTGTCTTCAAACTATATCTATTTATCATCATCGTCGTCATCATCATCTTCTTCATTATCATCGTCGTCGTCGTCGTCGTCATCATCTTCTTCTTCATCATCTTCTTCATTATCGTCGTTATCATCATCATCATCATCATCATCATCGTCGTCGTCGTCAACATCATCATCGTCGTCGTCGTCGTCGTCATCGTCATCACTACCATAAGTATCTTTATCTTTAACTAGCATTTGGAGATTATTGTCCCTTCTAATATCGCTTGGCAGACTTCCTGTTAACAAATACATTAGAGATTGTGTTGGTGACATTGCTTGATACAAGGGAACGGGTGAATACGTCTGTAAGAGACCAGTAAAAATATTATCTATTAAGTCGAACAAAGTAAGTGTATTTTAAATCATCGATACATTATTGAAAAATAAGATATCTAAAATAATTGGGCATTTTTTTAAAAATAAATTCTTACTCATACAATTGTAAATATAATTAATATGCTCGTTTGGTTTTAAATTCTAATTTAAAAAGTTATTTTTTATATATTTTAACATAAAGTATATTTTTAACCGTTTTTAACTGCTTTTTTTTTTTTAATCAGTATAAATTTTCCTAATAATATTTAGAATATCCATATAAAAAAATAATAAGTAAATGTTGATCATGACATTCTTAAAATGAGTGAATTATTATTCATAAAATACTCAATCATTTATAGTTATGTTCGGTAGTGTAACGTATTTTTTACCAATAATTTAAATCATTGTAGTTAAATCAATTAATTTTAAATATCCAGATAAATAATACAAAATAATAATTTCAATCTAAACCACAATTAAGAAAACTAAAACATACATCTCTTCTTTTGTTGAATTAATAATACCTCAAAATTTACTATCTGTAAAAATATGTGTAAATTGGCAGTCTCAATTAGAGTGTAACGAACTTATGCTTATCGTATAATAATTTGTAGTTTTAAATTTTATTTGCGTAATATTTCAACTGCTAATTAATATATTCAGAAATTATTTTACACAATAAGACAGATGAATAAAATTTAAAAAAATTAAACTCAACTAGTTTATTGATATATATATATATATAAAACAAACTCCAATATAATGTAATAAATCATATATATATATATATATATATATATATTATACATTTCATTTATTAGAATAATGCTGAATATTATTCATTAATAATAATCGGTTATTTGATAAAAAAGTTTGGACTTAACAAACACACATTTATATTTGAGTATTTTTAACTGTATTTTTTAAAATATTTAATCCATCTAAGGTCCGGTACTTTTCTAATTCATCTAGTATGTATAAAAATTAAATAAATTATTTATTTAAAAATTATTGATAATTATACCAATTTTTTTCATATTATGTACATAATACGTAAATAATCGTTTATTTTAATCAAATTTTTTAATTTATTGTCAACTCAATAAAATAACCATTCTTTAATATAAATGTTCCAGGTAATATTAAAATATATTAAAAAAAATTATGAGCGAAAAATAAATATATTTTTTCAGTGAAATTATGTTATACAAATTTGTAATATTGATAAGTTTTATGGTTATATCAACAATTACTTTGCAAATAAAAAATAATTTTTCGTCCATCTATTCTATATTTTATATATAGGTTATTTTGTTAGTATAAAACTTATATTTTAGCTTTGATGCGAAGCTGAGAAGGTATTGGTTTTACTAAGATGTGTTTTTTTTTTTTTTGTGTCTTTTACCACTTTTTCTCGCTCTCACCAACTGATTTCTTTCAATGATACGTCAAAAGATCACAAATCGTATCTAGTCGAAGACATTACCCTCAAAAATTGAAAAAATTTCCCTCGTTCCCCGTAAATAGGGGAAACCTCCAAAAAAATTACAAATTTAAAAATCGCTAATTTTCGAAATTTTTTCAATTTCTTTTACTTAAATAGCCATAACTTTAAAAAAAAAAACCGAATCAATATAATTCCTTTTTTTATAAATGAATGATGTTTTTATCTATCATTTGGTATATTTTATTTTTATATCTGACCCTTTACCTGCCCACAGGGGGGATTTAAAATGACAACTTTTTCACAAAAAATTAATTTTTTCAACTTGACTTTTGAAAATATTCCGGAAAGTCTGACACTTTTATATATATCTTAAATTAAAGCTAATGTAATGTACTTTATTATGAAAAAAAAATATTTCGGACTTTATTTTATCTTCACGGTGAAAATGGTTACCAAATACTATTTTTGTGTGAAAATTTTCGATTTTGTATTTTACATTTTTAACTTTATTATGCTATAACTTTTTGAAAAATGTATGGATCAACATAATTTTTCTATAAGAAATACTATTTTTTAATAATCCCTTTTTCATTCGACATACTTTATCTTAATCAGGATATTAATAAGGGACTAGCAGATCATGTAACTTTTGGAATAATCCACCAATTTTTTAAAATTAAACACTATCTAAAGATCTGCATCGGAGCGTTTTTTTTTTGATAGTGATTTTAATCACTGTCAGATATCATTATACTTGATCCAACTATGCCACGTCATCACTGTGCCGCGACCCCCCTGTACTGACTTTTTTATTATACAAGTTTTGCATACGTCTGAAATTTGTATTTTATATATGCAAAGAGTTTTTAGTAAAGGGTGACCGACCCCAAGTAGTCTGGATTAAGGCGAGGAAAAAGATGAAGAAGATATATGCAAAGAGTTTTTATTAAATATATAATTGTATATATGTATACGTCTCAAGATGTTTTCACAATTTACCATAAGAAAAATATTTGAATATGTTAAAAATCGTGGGAAACCTTCTTTATAGGTTGATTCATAAATAAAAATATTTTATACTTTATATACAGGTGTTGCATAACATATTAATCTGAAATTGTGACCTTTTACTTCCTTATTATCTGATTTATGGAACTTTTGAAAAATTTTATTTTATGCTCCTAGGTATATAATTAAATAATTATATACCTATTATTATAAATTATATAATAAGTATATAATTTTTATTTACTTATTTTCTATCAATTTATTGTTAAAAGTGATTATGCTACTATCCATTAAGTCTTTAATGGGGATTGCTCAGTGACATTCTGTAGTTACTTATAGTATTGTGTAATCAAGGTATATAAATGATTTTAATAAATATTACATTGCTCATAATCATAAAACAAAATAAAAAGTACCTTAAAATATACTTCTTTCGAGATTAGAATCTTAGAGGATACCTTCCACACAAGAACAATACTCTTGGTATTCTTAAAAGATTATAGCTACCAATACTGCCAAGAAAAGAATTATCACAATTTACAAAATTACAAATAAATTAATAATAAATACAAAATTAAAAATATCAAAAAAAATTTTCGTAATCCACTATTATTAATACATATGTTTAAAATTTTGAACGTCTTCTATGTTTGGGGAAATTGTCCAATTTTGAAAAAATGTCAAATGAAAGTGGTATGTATAAAATATTAAAATAAAACTGTATCGATCCATATATTTTTCAAAAATTTATAGCAATTAAAAGTCAATAATACAAATAATAATTTATAAAAATAAAAAATAGCATGTATTTTAATTATGGTGTCTATTTTCACATAGAAGATAAGTAATGGTGGCAAACTGTTTTTACTTATAGTATGTAACATATGTTTGAAGCTTGAAGAATATAATAAAACTTTAAGTTGAAAAGGTTAACTTTTCATGATAATAGCAATTTTGAATCCCCCCAATGGGTAGGTTAAGGTTAAGATTTTCAAAAAATATATACCTAACGTATTTATAGAAAAAAAACTCTTTTGATTCATCTATTTATAAAAAAAGTTTTAAAAATGTCTTAATTTACTGATTTTAAAAACAGTAATTTTAGAGGAATTTTCACTATTTACAAAAAACGAGTGAACATTTTTGAATGACCTCTTTTCAAATATTTAAGGCTAATTATTAAATATCAAAGATGTCTTTTTAATTTTTTTTTTCAACCCGAAGGTGGTTTACAATTTCAATTCTCCTTTTTTTTTACATTCGTGTTAGCAATAATTTTGCTGTTTTATTATTAGCCCTAAGAGATTTTTTTTGTTCCAAGTTATGAAGAATTTCCCATCATTAAAAATATGACAGCGTTAAATTTAATTTAGTCTTCGTTATGATACAATTATATACAAACGAAAATGTTATACAGGCTCAATTACAATGATTGAACAGACTCGTTTGATTCATGTTGGTGTTCGTCTTACGCAATAAACTTATTTCGCCAATTTGTTAAAATTATTGTCAAAACCAGATACTACAATCAAATAGCTATCCATAGCACAACTCGCTACGAGATCACATATTTTGAATTTAATAAGATATTCGAGTTTTTATTTTAATATTAAATAAAATTTGAATTTTTAAAATAAATTTATTCGTTTATTAGACAAAAAATTTTAAAGTTTAAAATTTATTATTTAATATAGATGTAGAAAACACGAGATATTACATAAACAGGTACTTTTTGACGTCGATATATCGCAGAATCGTTAAAAAATTTGCCTGGAGTAAGCTTTCATATGGCAGTGAAACATGGAAAATTGACATGAAAGACAGAAACAAACTAGAAGCATTAAAGTTATGTATATGGAGAAAAATAACAAAATGGATAGACAAGAAAAGAAATGAGCAAGTGATAGAAGAAATACGAGAAGAAAGACAACTGATAAAGGTGATTGAATCAAGAAAAATAAAGTTAATCGGACACATCGTCCGACATAAACACTTTATAATCAACATGTTCGAAGGAAAAATAACTGGTAAGCAATCAAGAGAACGCCCAAAGAAACAATATTTTGATCATATCTTGGAACTCATGAACTATGCGTCTTTTGTTTCGCTGAAAAATTTGGCGTCAAACAGAGATCTTCAACGACAAAGCATTCACTTGAATACATGATAATTGTGAACTAATAATCGATATAGTGTAAATAGGAGAAAATATGGAGGAAATTAATCAAAAGCTAAAACGAACATTATATGCACAATCGGCTTATTGGATACTGTAATATTTGGATTCTGTTAACGCCGTTAGTATGTTGAATACACATCTGTTAAATGCGTTTTCAAGGATTTTTATATTAATTTGGTAACACCATCATCGTTATTGTTGCCCCTGTTGGTTGATAGGAGATAGAAGACGAGCGTCTTGATTGTCTCTCATTGCTACCTTTGGACATTGCGTTTTGTTGTATCGTGTGCGATCACTGTACGACACTGAGTTTCTAAAGGTCTGTTTCTAGTCTATGTCTACGTTTTTGCC